ACCGCATGTCTTTGGACTGTGGGGAAAACCGGAGCACCCGGAGGAAACCCACGCGAACGCACTACACTACTGAATTAGACACACAATCTCAAAAAAAAAAACTTGATGCTTATTTACATTATCTAAAGTCATTTCTTACGAGGTAGGATCTGTTGTTGTATTATATATTTTCGTTTTAATATGCAAATAATTTTCGTTAATTTGTAATAGGCCTATTGTCCCTCATTGCATAAAATAACCAGCCTTTGTATTCAATATGTTTGTAAATTGTCCATCCAGTTTGATGCAAGCTAAACAACATTTTGGCCTGTTTTGCTTATTAAATGAGTGATTTTCACGGAGAAACAAATCATCCATCCACACAGTTTTGTATAGGACCTGTGTGAACAAAAATATACACTTCATCATAGCCTATAGGAAAATGTATCTGTTTAGAACCAATTTTGTGTTGTATAATTAAAAATATTAAAAATACAAAAAAAAAAAAAAAGGAATAACATTTGAAGTGCAATGCTTCAAAGATCCAATACGCTGCATGCAGAGCCAAAACAAAAACTGCTTTGTTTGTTTAATAAAATAATAATATGAAATTAAAGTGAAATAGTTCCATAACCTGTATTATAACTGTAGTCACTCTAGATGACAAATCATCCGTTGCGCCGGTCAGTTTCACCTTTAATCAAGAATGTGCCAGAACCAAATGAGAATATTTACAGATTACCTCGGAATGAGACCTCGGTCTGTGAAGGATGCAGAACACAGAAACTCGTTGAGAATGGAGATGCATGTTAGATGTTTTATATCCCTTTAGATATTGTAAATAAACAACAAGTTTTTATAGAGATTGTGTCATGTCTTTTCTTTAACGCACGCGCTGAACAGCCCCGAAAAGGCGCCTTTATTTAGCCTGTAGCCTAAATAATAGTTTAGATTTTATAACATATAATGTTCCATTACTTTAAATGTATAATGTTTTTTAATATTTATGGATTATATAAAATAGCTAGTTTATATAAATGCGCTCTGATCATTCAAGGATTATGCGTTGCATATTCTTCTTATTCTTCATTATGGCTTGATCCGTAAATTGTGTATTTTATAAACTGATCGTTTGTAAGGACTAAGCTATTAATAACTGTAATTCCTCGAATGGAAAAGTCTTGATTAAAGAAAAAGATAACTTAATTCGACATATGCGTATAGTGCGCTTAATTCTGCGCGCATCGCGCGCTTTACCGAATTATCTTTTTATTTTTTATGCACTATAAATGCATCTGGCAGCACCGAAAAGAGCAAATGCCAAGTTATTAGCGCAGCGCACAGACAGCTAGCTCGTCTAGTCTGAACCAGGGGTTTTCAAACTATTCATTGCACACCGATCCCATTGCATTTTATTTAGGATAAACCACTTATTTAAAATTAATTAATTAAAAGGTGCGTACTCTCCAATACACCACTGAATTATAGTGTCATAATATTTAATAATTATAAATAAGATAGACACCTGACCTCCATTTAATAAACAATTTATTTGCCATACTCTGTTAATTTGAAGTTTAAAGTTTAAATCATTTATGTTAAACTTAAATTATTTAAAAACTTAAAAAGACTTAAATTTAGTCATTTAAGACATTTTAGGTCATAAGTTTACATACATTGACCGTTGCATTTAGTAGGCCTATTCTGGTCTAAATAAGCTTTTTGCATCTTAGGTGTTTACACACACAAATTAAGCAGTTATACGTACATTTAATGTTACTTTGAAATTACTTTTGATGCAATAAATAATCCTAAATAGTTGAAAGTGTTAACATATTCTTGAAATGTAGTTATTTTATAACTATGAAATTTATTACTAAACAAAGTGAATCATTATGAATTTGCCAAGAAATAATCCACTTTACCACTGTAAAGCAATGCCCCACACTCACTAGAACGGTAGAACCTGGACTGTATGATATGTTATTTATGTAAAATAGAGAAAATAAGCAAGATGCGCAGTCTCATGCAGCCTTAGTGAAATATAGCGCGTGACAGCAATGAACTAAAAATAAAACCACCCTTGAAATGCTGGCGATCTTAATTTTTTCAGCTTACACTGACTGAGAATAATGTTGCACTATTTTATTAACAAATAATTAGAATGTTTTTTTTTCCTTCAACACATTCATCATTACTTTTGCCTGTGCAAGTTTCTTGCGCGCGCTTGAGCGCGAAGGCATCTATTTTCAGGTGCAAGATGCCACTTTGGGTGGCACCAGCACACTCTGCCACACCTGTGGCTATGTCCCTGCTACAATAATAATAACAACAACAACGACAAAATATTAACAAAAAATAATAATAATAAGACAGGCCTACTTTGACGTTGCAATAAAAAAGTATTAATTATCAAATAAATATTTACAATAGGCAAAAGGCATATATTAAATTAAAATAGGAGAAAATCCAATAGAAACAAATGGTACCATTTATTATAGCCCCATGCAGGGTCCAATGTGTTCTTACAACCATTGAATAACTAAGTAAATAATAATAACAATACTAATAATAATAGGCCTAATAATAATAATAATAATAATAATAATAATAATAATAATAAATTATTATTTTATACAGAGTAGGCTATTATTTAGGCCTACAATAGCTCTGAAACAATCATGTAAACCAGGTGCTCCTCGGAAATGGCTATCTTTGCTCTGCATCAGGTGCACAGCAGCAAGAAGCTTGGCAGTGAACTATGACCTTATTTTAATGACAAATGTCTAAGAATACTGCTTTACGTTTTTATTTAATTTATACATACGCAATGAATGTAAGCCTGCTAACTGTGTGTGGTTCAAATGATAGAATATGTAAACTTTGTTTATATATATAATTAAATAATAATAATTAAAAGCCTGCGTGTAAGGCTTTTATTTTGAGGGTGACGTCACGAGCGCAGATTTGGTTGACCAATTAGAGGAAAGTGGGCGTTTCAGTACCGCCTACATGTGTAAAATGAATTTTAAAGTCGTTTATCCGTTTTCCTACCCTAAACCAAAAAACGAAAATCCAGCCAAAATCTCGTTTTTTCGTTTTCTCGTGAGCAAAAGAAAAACGGAAAAACGGCCGTTTTCTCCATTTCCTTTATTCCGTTTGAAAATGGAAAACAAATGAACAAAATGTACACGGACCCCGAGCGAACTGACAACACTGAGAGAGAACCGACGAGCTTTATAGGAATGCAGATGCAAATGTTTACTATGCGACGTCACTGCTGTGAGTCTTGTTGTCATGGTGAGCGCTAAAGAGAGCTCACCTCATTGGAGCACGGGAATTTTCGTCACGGCGAGTTGCGGTCGGCCGTGAGCAAAAACACATTAAATATATTGAATCTATATTTCTAAATTTTTGTTGCCGTGTAATATTCTGGGATGCAGTAGAATATGGAGACAGGTAAATATAATTAAAGACAGATGCGGGACATTAGAACAGAAAGTGAACCCACCTGGCTAGACTAACTTCTAGTGGTGGTAAGCTTCTTATTATCCAAAATCGCCATCTAGCGGTCACATAACCTAATAGCATGTTACTTGCTACTGACCACCCCTACGGCCAAAAGGTCCTGCATTGTCCTTTTAATTATTTTATGAAGTTTAATATTATGTAATATATTTATTATATAAATAATATTCTATATTTATATTCAATATATGTTCCCGTCACATCTGTGTTTATGAGGCTGTTTGCTCACTTCATTTGTTTTATTCTGATCAGATATCCGATCGCCTTAAACCACTCCAGAAGGTGATCTGGGATGCATTTCAGATGAAACTGGACAGGTATGATCTTTTTTTTTTTGACAAAATTAATATAAACAAAATAAATTATGACCTGGAGAAAATTGGACCTGCGCCTGAAACACCTGTAGGTGCACTTTTACAGCCAAAATTCTATCAAAACATGTTTACTATCAGCATAAAACATGTTCTAACCTTTCAGGCCTGTAGCCAGGGGGGTTCGGGTGTAATCTAACAAACAGTGGCTACTTTGAGGAACATAGAATATGACATACTTTCAGTAGTTTCACACTTTTTTGTATGTATATAATTCCACATTTGTGAATTCATAGTTTTGATGTCTTCAGTGTGAATCTACAATTTTCATAGTCATGAAAATAAAAAAAAGACTCTTTGAATGAGAGGGTGTGTCCAAACTTTTGGTCTGTACTAAAAAAAAAAAATAAAAAAAAAAAATAAATATATATATATATATATATATATATATATATATATATATATATATATATATATATATATATATATATAGAGAGAGAGAGAGAGAGAGAGAGAGAGAGAGAGAGAGAGAGAGAGAGAGAGTATTTTTGTTGTTTGTTTTTTTAACATTGATATTATAATAAGTCATGTTGTATCTGTTGTCTCTGGTTTGTATTTGAGTGTTAGCCATCAGAGGGCGCTTTAGCTCTTATAATGAAAATGAATGAATCAGGTTATTGTAAAGAAACATCTAGTGACTCCTAGTGGCCCGATTCTAAAATATAATTACATGCAAACTGCGATCTTCATTAATGGCATGATTACAGTAAACATTATTGTAGTTTAGACAAACTCCAAAAGTTTTTTGCATGTCATTGTTATCGTATAATAAAATACATGTTATATAAACATAGTTTGTTTACATTACCACAGGTTCAACGCGTTCTAAATAAAATACTAAATAATGTTCATATGTTTACATGGAGACATGGAATGTCAGCCTATTTATTTACTATTAACTTACCTTTGTAAGTCGATGGCTTGTTTGGTAATATTCATGAAGCTACGTCACTTGACCTAATTAATATTAATAAGCCAATGTAAAGGTTAAGCCGACTAGTAAGACTGACCTCATTAATATTCATGAGTTAGGCCTCAGTCATCGGATGATTTCTCGTGGGCGGAGCCTGAAGAAGGAAGAAGCGCCGTTTTTTTCCAGCTCTGATGACAGAAACCAACGGTACCGGCATATGAGCCGCTCCTCTTTTTTTCTGCACATACTAAACCAGGCTGGACGTCCAGTGCATGTTCAAAACAAAACCTCCAGAACACAGAACGCTTAATATACACATCCAATACTTGAAGATTCAGAAAGTTTAATGTCGGGCATTAATAGGCAGATAAATCATATGATGGAGACGGAGATCCACGTGCCTGTAGGCTCACCGACGATAAGAAAATTTCAGATATTCGTTGACGAGCACAATGTGACGGAAGGGGCGATGAAGCTGATTAAAGAGCTCAGACCCGGCTGGGACCCGAACCTGATCCGCACTAAGGTAGGTGTGACGGTCTGTAGCTTCAGCTAATCCAATCCCGACGTGTTTAGGGCCTTTAAATGTCTAATTTCTGCGTTTTTGATTCTCATAAAGCATTGTATCTCTAAAAACAGCGTAAATTATGTGGAAGGTTTTGCTCGGTATCACGTCATATTTCTAGAATGACCACATGAGTGACGTTGGCAACTAACTAGCCTGGCTAACTTAGCCCGCAGCTGGTAATTGCACTCAGTTTAAAGACGTTGTCATATATAATCTATATTAAAACGAGTATAAAGGAATAATAAAACAGTCTGTCTTAGGCACAAGCAAACGGTGTTGAAATTAGCTGTAATAAAGACGTTTTAAATTTTTGACAAGAGGCGCGTCTCTTGTACACGTCACTAACCAGCTGGCTGTGACTTCACTGCAATACAACTAAAATAAATCACACTGCAGTGTTTTAAAATCAGTTTAATCTAGTATGTTATGATTCATCAGAATATTAGAAGCTGTTAGCAGTGTAATTACACTTATTTAACGACCTTCAACTGAGCCATGTAACTTAGTTAATATTAATACATGTGTATAGGCTACATTCAGTAATTAATTGAAAAATGTAAAGGTTAAGGTCATCTTCATCATAAAAAAGTATGTGTGCAGCTATATGTATTTACTTTAAAATATCAAAGTACTTCTAAGACAATAAAAATGACAGAATTTATGTAAAATAAGGTCATTCAGAGTAGTGGGTATAGTTATTCAGAAATAAAAAAACACTTATTCTGACTTGTACTTATGTAAAATATAATAATAGGTTTAACCTAAAATCATTAACTTTTTGCTGAGAAATAGTTTAAACCTGGTGATTTGAGAAATTGATTAAAAAAAAGTATAAAGATTTAAAAGGACTTAGTATTTTAGATCTGCCCTGTTATCTTTAAAAATTGTGTTATAATTTATAATGTCATTATATTAGTGTTATACTGTCATAATATTAGCCATTTAATCAAACAGTCTGTTTAATGCACAACGAAATGGTGTTGAAATTAGCAGTAATATAGACGTTTTAAATCTTTGACATGAGGCTCGTCTCTTGTACACACCACTAACCAGCTGGCTGTGACTTCACTGCAATATAACTAAAATAAATCACACTGCAGTGTTTTAAAATCAGTTTAATCTAGTATGTTATGATTCATCAGATTATTAGAAGCTAATAGTATGTTTGCAGTGTAAATACACTTATTTAACGACCTTCAACTGAGCCATGTAGTAAACAATAATACATTTATATTCAGTAAACTGATTACATTTAGTAATTAACTGAATAATGTAAAGGTGTAGGTCATAATTATGTTTTAAGGTCATCTTCCTCATGAAAAAGTATGTGTGCAGCTATATGTATTTACTTTAAAATATTAAAAATACTTCTGAGACAATAAAAATGACAAAATATATGTGTAAAATAAGGTAATTCAGAGTAACGGGTGTAGTTATCCAGAAATAAAACAACACATTTATTCTGAGCTGTACTTATGTAAAACATAATAAAAGGTTTAACTTAAAATCAATATTATTTTGCTGAGAAATAGGTCAAACCTGCTGGTTTGAAGAACTGATTAAAGAAAATATAAAGATTTAAAATGTCTTTAATTAGTATTTTGGATCTGCCCTGTTATCTTTAAAAATTGTGTTATAATTTATAATGTCATAATATTAGTGTTATACTTTCATAATGTTAGCCATTTAATCAAACAGTCTGTTTTATGCACAAGGAAACGAGGTTTAAAATTTGTCGTAATATAGATTTTTTTTAAATGTTAGACGTGACTTTTTCACTAACCAGCTGGCTGTGACTTCACTGCAATATAACTAAATCACACTGCTGTGTTTTAAAATCAGTTTAATCTAGTATGTTATGATTCATCAGACTATTAGAAGCTGTTAGCAGTGTAATTACACTTATTTAACAACCTTCAACTGAGCCATTTAGTTGATACTAATACTTTTGTATACATTCAGTGATTAAGTATAAAATGTAAAAGTATAGGTAATGATCGTGTGTTAAAGTCATCTTCATCATGAAAAAGTATGTGTGCTGCTACTTTAAAAATCAAAGTACTTATAAGACACTAAAAATGTCAAAATGTGTGTAAAATAAGGTAATTCAGAGTAACGGTGTAGTCATCTAAAAATAAAATGACAGTTATTCTGACATGTCACTCATTATTTTACTTCGGCTTAATTCGGGGTCGCCACAGCAGAATGAACCACCAACTTATCAAGGATATGTTTACACAGTGGACACCCTTCCAGCTGCAACTCAGTTCTGGGAAACATCCATACATAGTCATTGACACACATACACAACGGCCAACTTAGTTTATTCAGTTAATCTATAGCGCATGTGTTTGGTAGGCATGGGACGATAACCGTGTTCAAGATATACTGCGCTTTGGAAAAGTAAGGGATTTAAAGCCGTACACTAACCATAAACATAAATAGGTTTTGAGTGAAATATTGTATATCAAAGATACTTATTTTCACCAATAATATATATTTAAAAAGTGGTGTGTTGTTCATGTGTACGTCCATCAAAGTGTCAACAGTTTTGTTTGCATATCCCAGTTCAACCACATGTTGACAGCTCAATAAATCCTTAAGTGCAATGAAATGAGTTTGCTTAGCAAGGTGGATGTTTTGCCAACATGTAAATGTATTTGTCTTGCATTTCCATACATACATAATATAAATCTGATTGAAAACAAAAATCCCCTAGGTCTTTTGAATAAGAGGTTATCGCAGTTTCCACCTGGCGCTCTGGTTTGAAACTAGTTTATCTTATTAGATTGATAGACTTGACCCAAAAGCACATTCAATTCAGAAGTGATGAGCTTATTCCATTTGCATAATCTGTGTCTCACGACTTTCATTGGAAAATATAATTTGTTTAATGTAATACCAGGTATTAATGGTAATAAAGAAAGCCTCCCTTACTGTTGCCTTTTTAATGGAGCTGTTTAAATCATAAGGAAGTGAGCTGTACTAAGTCTTGGTGAATCACAGTTACTGTTAACACCCATAGGTTACATACAGTCAAAGTCAGAATTATTAGCCCCCCTTTTTATTTTGCCCCCAATTTCTGTTTAATGGAAAGAAGATTTTTTTTTCAACACATTTTTGAACATAGTAGTTTTAATAACTCATCTCTTATAACTGATTTATTTTATCTTTTTCATTATAACAGTAAATAATATTTGACTAGATATTTTTCAAGACACTTCTATTGACCTTATTCGCAGACGAGTGGGCGCTGCCATTTGAATCTTTTTGGCACGAGACTTCCGGTCTCATTCACTTCCATTCATTTTTAGACATTTAAAAACTGCTCGTTTCGCAGTTTGACGTTGCAAATTGATATTTCCTTGATATATTATTCTACTTGGTCTGTATAGTCATGCAAACATTTGTTTGTAGAGCAAGTAGTTTGACCGTTTTTTGCCGTTTATTATTCCTTGTCATTTCTCCCATAGGCGACTGAAACGGAAGTTCTAAGACAATCGCGAAAACAGGCGCACTTCCTCATTTTAGAATAAGGTCAATACAGCTTAAAGTGACATTTAAAGGCTTAACTAGGTTGATTAGGGTAACTAGGCAGGTTAGGGTAATTAGGCAAGTTATTGTATAACAATGGTTTGTTCTGTAGACTATCGAAAAAAAAATGATCTCAAAGTGGCTAATAATTTTGTCCTTAAAATGGTGTTTAAAAAATTAAAAACTGCTTTTATTCTAGCCGAAATAAAACAAATAAGACATTCTCCAGAATAAAAAATATTATCAGACATACTGTGAAATTTTCCTTGCTCTGTTAAACATTATTTGGGAAATATTTAAAAAAGAAAAAAATCTAAAGGTTGCTAATAATTCTCACTTCAACTGTATTCAGTGTAAAATTGAGCATTACAGCCCTGATTATTAGCCTCACGTTATCTTTCATATTTATTTGAGTGTTGTCATTGAGTGTGATAGGAAGTGAAGGTAATGCGTCTGTCATATTTCACACTAAAAACAGGAGAAAGACTTTTAAATAACAATTTAAAATAAAGTCCTTTTTGTTCATGTTATTTATTACATTTTGTTACAACTGTTAAGCGACATTTAGTAATATTTTTATCATTATTATGTTTAGTTGATATTAAACCCTTCAACTTGTTAGCTGAGGTTTATTAAATAATGTAATACAGATGTATCTTTCACTTATAATAATGTTTTATTAAATGTTAACATGATTAATTATGATCTATAAATGCGTTAGAACAGTGATTCTCAAAATTTTTTTCACAAAATACCACCTCAGAAAAAATGGTCTCTTCAAGTACCACCATAATGGCCGGTATTGAAATACACAGTATGCCTAATTAAGCGGCTACAGCTCTGCACAGTTCACAAACGTGGCAGATTAATTCTTATTATTATGAATATTTATTATTGTCAGCCACTTTAAACATAATAAATAGTTTGAACAATAACACACTTACAGGTAAAAATAAATAAAAAAATAAATAAAACATCAACGTTTAAATTAAAATGTGATTTTAAAAGTTAATTAAAAATAGCACTGTTCTTAAAAAGTTCATAATCTCCACACTTTTTCAGGAAAATAATGGCAAATGCAAAAACCTCACTGATTCATTTATAGCATTCAGCTCTTTCAAAAGTCCTTGTTCTGCCATTCCAACAAAATATCAACTTTGCCAGTGTTCTAGATAATGTAGCCTTGGTGACATTCAAATCAGCTCAATACACTACAGCGATAGTCAAATTATCAAGGAGACTAAACACCTGCACGTTTTCAACAAATGTCTCAAATCTAATGCCTCATTCACTCTAGCAGAGATTTTGTAGCTGCCTGTTGCTGTGGGTGGCGACCTGCTGCAAACGCAGTTCTGTGTAGGTCTACAGCACGAAGAATACAACCGACCTCCGAGCGTGCAGAGAGAGGATCACGTGAGCTCTAC